CACACTGTGATCGGTCTCTGTTCAGGGTTAGGGCTCTGACTCAGCACATTCTGACCAAGCCACAGGGAGAGCCAGTGTTTGACAATCACCCCAACTGAATTACGCTTGTGGTCACTCTGTGGAGGTGGCGTGTTTGACGGGACAGTCACCGCTGAGTCATTCGGACTGTGGAGACCGAGGCCTGAGAATGATCTAACAAAACTATTGAAAAAACCCCAGTGCTCTTCTCTGGCACCCAGCTATCAGCTGGAAGTGACTAATACTTTTCTTTTTAAAAGTCATGGAACCACTTCCTGCTTGGAGCTCCCACTCGGCTTGATAAAATCTCAAATCATGACCCTGGCCCACTAGAAACTGCTGTGTATCAGAGTCCTCTGGGGAGCGGACTATCAACACCAACCCTCCAGTAAGACCCAATTGGTCTCAGGTGGGGCCAGGAGAGGGCGTTATTTTTCAGGCTACCCAGGTGATTTGAATGTACGGCTGAGGGCTGAGCCAAGCTGCCTCCGCCTCAGGGCCTTTGCACATGCTTGCTTCCCGCTTGACCCATCAGTGGGCCCCTACGTCAGCCCGCTCAGCTCGCAGTGTGTCAGATTAGAACTGCACTCCACAGGGTTTCAACGGCTGATGTTTTCAGAAGTAGGTCACCAGGCCTTCCTTCCAAGCACCCCTGGATTTGAACCTCCAGCCTTTCAATTAGCAGCTCAGCACATCAATCAAGCTGCACCATCCACCAACCTCAGCCAGCTCCCCCTGTTCTGTCTCCTAGCAGCCACATCTCTCTTGGGTGGCACTGTTCACACTGGACCCGTTTACTATCTCCCCTCTCCGCTAGACTGGAAGCTCTTTGAGGGCAGGGACTGGGGCTGTCTTGCAAGATTTCTACCATCAGCTCACGTCTGGCACTTGGTAAAAGCCCTACAATTTTTTGCAGGAATGAATGAGACAATGCGACATGGGGGTGAGCTGGGGCGAGAGCCACGTACCCAGGCAGCGAGCCACAGGGTTCTTGCCCTCAGGGATCTCCACTCTGCCGCTGAACGGATGGGGGCCTTTATCTCCCAGGCCTCTCTGCAAAACGGATGGTTAAAGGTGGTTCTGGCCTAGGAATCAAGCCACTTTTTCTCTTCTTTTCGGGACAACTCCTTTCCACCCCCAGCTCTGCCTTTAGAGAGTTACCCAAGACAAGTCACCTCACGCTGGAGATCATGTTGGTAAAATCGAGGGTCAGCAAGAAAGAGGAAGCCTCCCTGTAAGATAGTGGCTGTGATAATGGGCTCAGGCTTGGCAACCATTGTGGGGAAGGTGCAAGTCCGGGCGGTGTTTCCTTCTGTTGGACAAAGGGTCCCTGTGAGTCAGAGCAACACCAACCTAAAGGGTGGAGGTTCAGCACCCAGTGGTGCTGCAGAACAAAGGTCTGGAAATCTCCTTCTGTCAAAAGTAAAGCCAAGAAACCAGTTCTACCGTCATGGACGTGTTCCCATGAGTCTGAATCAACTCCACAACTGTGGGTTTGGTTTTCCGTTTGGTGCACAAAGACGTTGAGTGGAGTGTAAGGGGACAACTTACACAAGGTGCCCCAGGATAACCTGCGGTGATGTGAGGCTGGCAACACCAGGGCAGGGGTGTTAGCAACGCCAGCCCTAAAAAGACCTTTCCCTGAGCCCAGAGAGGACACTGCTATGGGGCGGGGACCCCAGGGGGTTGCTAGGGAATTAGCACCAGGACCCAGCACCTGCGGGTGCCCCCATTGATAGATGTGGACACAGCCACACGGGTCAGCTTCCCAGGGCTCAGGTGGGGTAGAGAGGGGCAGGGACCCGGAAGTGAAATGGAGAAGAGTAATCGCCCATTAGAGTCCAGGAAGGTGCAGCAGGGAGGGAGCGCTCCAGTGACTGCAACCAAGACATGTCCTCAGAGTCCCACAGGATCTGAAAGGCCCCCAGACAGAGCATGGGTGATTGAACTTCAGAGCACGCCCACACGCTGCGGCACCCTGAGGGCCAGCTCCGAGCTCCACCCCACACTGCCTCCTGGTTCTTCTTAGAGTCCCACTGTGGTGGGGGGGGGGGGGGGGCTGACCTTTCTGTTCTCTAATCTCTGTGTTTTCTGTGGTTCACTAAGAAACAAGGAACAGGAAGTGCCAGGAGGCTAGGGCGGCTGATCTTCCCCCAGCCAGGCCTGCCTCTCCCCACCAGAGAACCCCCAGGGCATCAGCTGTCAGGGGGAGCACCTGGCAAAGTTGAGAAACAAGAAGCATCTCCCAGGGGTCAATCAGCTGAGAGCAGCAAACTCCTGGGGGCACAAAGCACACACTGGCATCCTGTGTCTGTCTGTCAGCTGCCCCTCCCCACCGGCACCCAGATGAGTTCAGTGAGCCTGAGGGCGGGAAGGATTAGTTCACCTCGGTCCCTAGGAGGCAAAGTCCTGGGCAGCCCTCCCACTGAGGGGTGGGTTTAGGTGCCCAACCTTTGGAAGTCCTTGGGTGGCACAAAGGAGCTCTGGTGATGTACTGCTTAAAGCACTCAGGCTGCTAACCAAAAGGTTGGCCGTTCAAACCCACCAGCTATGGTGGATGCCCTATGGATGAAAGTCTGCTTCCATGAATATTGACGGCCTTGGAAACCCTATGGGGCATGTCTACTCTGTCCTTCAGGGTCTCCATCAGTCGGAATCGACTCAGTGGCAGTGGTGCTGGCGGCACAGTTAAGGACTCATCTACCAGCCAAAACACTGGGAGTTCAAATCCACTGAGGTGCCTGGGAAAACAGGCCTGGCATCTGCTTATAAAAGGACCTTGGAAAACCTATGATAGAGCACTTCTACGCTGCACACCCGGGGTTGCCACAAGTCGGAATCGACTCCACGGCAACTGAGCAACAGGACTACTCCAAGCAACGGAAGCCGAGAAGAGGCCGCCGGGTGACTTCTGGGCTAGGCCCGAAAAGGCCAGGTGACTGCAGGTTCTCTCAGGGGATGCTCCTTCTCCCCAGTCCTCATATGTGGGCCCAGGAGCAGGGAGGGAACAAGCCTGGGGGAGAGCCCAGGAGACCAGCCACTCTCCAGGCCAGCTTCTCCAAGGCTTGGGGACCCGTGCGTAGGAGAGTGACACGAAGATGGGCACTTCTGAGTGCAAGTTCTCTGACTGAAGCTAGAAGCCCAGTGGCATCGGGTTTCTCTCCTCTCCCGCGCCCTCCCTGCCCCACACTCAGCCCTTCTAAACCCGCTGGCCTGGCTCTGCATGCTCCCAGACCTGGCGTGTCCCGGCCAAGCTGGGGAAGGCCTCCTGGTGGCTTTTGTGAAAGGCTGGAGGAGGATTTGGTCCACGCGAACCATGGCAATCCTGTCTTGTCACCCAGTCAAATCCAGGGCGTCCCCACTCACCCACAAGCTGCAGTGCCAGGAGGTCAGGAGACCTGTTCAAACCCCAGCCCTGCCACCTTCTTGCTGGGTGACCCCGGGCGAAGTGCTTTCTCTCTCTGAGCCTCCATTTCCTCGAAGTGAGAATTCTCGTGGCGGGTGCTGAAGATGACCTGAGCACACACGCGCATCATCCCAGAGGCTTTCCAAACACCTCGCGTATCTCAACGGAACAATCGCCTTGGTTTTTTCAGTGAAAAAGCTAAAAAGCAGCTTTATGAGACAAATCAGCACATCAAACTGTGTTTTGAAAAACAAAAAAGAACATTTATTTCTGTAAACTGAGCGTGGACGTTCTTCACAACCCCAATACAGTACAGACATCCTCCCCCAAATTAAACGAGCAAGAACAGAGGAAAAGATCTACATAAAAACATGCTCATGAAGAACCAAGCCAATCGCATCTTTCTTTCTTTTGTGAACCCTTTTGAATGTGTGGTGCAGACAACTGAAACCACAGACGCCATGGTCCCCGTGAGTGCCAGGGCTTCCGCTCAAGCCGCAGCAGAAGAGGCAGAGCCGGTGGGCGGGCCGGCATCCTCGTGTGCGCCCAGGGCCTTGCTGAGCCTGAGGGCCAGTTCCCATCCCCACCTGGGCCTCTGTCCCTAATGTCCTTGTCACTTTGGGAGGGCCTGAAGCTAACCTTGAAGTAAACCTCTTCCTGTCAAATCGTGGGCCTCAGACCTCTGCCCTCTCTTCATGCCACAATGAGATTTCAATCCAAAGAGTGGGGATGGGCAGGTCTAGGCCACCTGGCAAAGCCACTGCCAAGCCAAGTTTTAAGGCAAATTTTCTCATTTCTTATTCGCTCTGAATCAGACCTAAGGCTTGTCCCCATCTCTGTCAGACATAGTGCTTAGGCAACTTTGATGGGGTTAGGGTGGGGGACCCTGTAGCATGTTCTAAGAGGCCCAAGCCAGGCTATGTGTGTGTTCTTATGAAGGGTGAAGTGGACCAGCACTGCTCCTGGGATACCTGCCTCTTTACCAGGAAACAGGAGGACGTGCCAGGAAACCAAGATGGTGGCACAGGTCTGACTGGGATAACAGTGAGGGACCCGGGAGCACGTTCTAGGAGGTCCAAGCCAGGATACGTGTGTGTTCTTGCGAACGCTAAAGTGGACCAGCACGGCTCCTCGGACAGCTGCCTCCCTACCACAGTAAACAGGAGGACGTGCCAGAAAACCAAGATGGCGGCACAGGTTCCGTCAGCAGCGTGAGGTCGTGGTGGATGAGGCCAGGCAAGAGAAATGTCAGGAAAAGGGGTCACTGCAGGAGGCACCTCAAATCTGATGGTGTGTGTGACCTTGACCTCAAAATGACTTTCTTTATAACAAAAAAGAGAAGGAAAAGGAGGAAGGTGGTTAAAGAAAGATGTTCCATGAGCGTCAGGAGACAGGGGCCAGGAGCGTTCGTGAGGGAGGCAGGGACGGGGATTGGACCGCAGACCCAGGGTGGCGGTGTCACCTCTCGCCGCTTCTCCTCTCCCTGGTGAGCTGGTGGGCTGGTAGCTGGGCCGGGGGTCCCCTCCCCCAGGGAGCAGGCAGATGACTTTGGCCAGGGGCAGGGGGAAGGCAGGGGTTACTCCGTCTGAGCATCGTAATTGGCGCCCCCCGCCTTCTTCAGCTCGCTCTTGATGAAGTCTTCCTCCAGCTCCTTCCGATCACTGATCACGAACTCCTTAGCGAAGTTCTGCAAGAATCAGTCAGAATAGAGTTCCGTTAAGGAGGGGCAGGAGTGAAGCAGTGCTCAGCCAGCGTGCTGGGAAGAATCGGCACCTAAAGTACGAAGAAATGATCACAATGGAAATGTGGCGACAGGATGGCTGGAGAACAAAGCAATGTCAGGACATCAGAGAACGAAAAAGTCGAGGGGCTCCGAGCCGCTGCTTCCTCAGATGCCAGAAAAATCATCTTTGTCAGCAGGATGGCAGGGACAACGTCGGAAAGGCAGGCTGGTGAGCAGCAGGTGACAGACTCTAAGCTCTCCAGGAAAAGAGAATAGGTGGGAAGCCCTTGTGGTGTACTGCATGGTGGCCTCCAAGGCTCATGCAGAAATCCTAACCCTTGCACCTGTGAATAGAAAGGCTATCGAGGGGCACAAACGGATTGTGCCTGGCTGATAACCCAAAGGTCGGTGGTTTGAACCTGCTTACCAGTACTGCGGAAGAATGGCCTGGCTATCTGCTCCCATACAGAGTACAGCCAAGAAACCCTATAGAGCAGGTCTATTCTAACACACGGGGTTGGTGCACCTGCATCAGGTCTGCTTTAGTTCAGGGGATGCAATCCTGTTAGGAAATGGGTTTTGGTTATGTTAATGAGGTCACACCAGAGAAGGGTGGGTGCTAACCCTAGTCCCTTCTGAGTGGTGTGTTATAAAATGAGAAAACAGACATACACCGAGACACACACACAGGGGGAGACAGCATGCCACCGTGGACAGAGGCAGATTAACTGTAAGGAGCAGAAGTTCACACACTTCTGGCAGTCCCAGGAGCTAGGAGGCTTCAGAGAAACCATCTGAAACTGGCTGATGCTGACGGGTGCACACCTCTGCACATTTACTAAGAATCACTGCATTGTACACTTCAGTAAAGCAATGTACTTAAAATGAATGTTAGGATGTATAATGTTATGATATCCAAATTTTATCATAAATATGTTATGATAAAAATATCAATAAAGCTGTTTTAAAATTCTATAATTTGATCGATATTATTTCACTTTCATTTTTCTCTCTATCTCCCATGTACCTAAGTCTTCCTCTTCCGCAGTGCCACCGTGTGGATCGCTCACATGTGGTACATGGCCCTTCCCTTCACCCAAATCCACACTAGTCTCTACCCACCCAGCAGTGCTTCCTCCCCTCCCTTCTCCACCCTGGTGACCAACAGAGGTTCAGTCCACTCAGAAACCTTCCCTTGACTTTTCACAATGATGAACTAATACAGTATCTGTCCTGTGATTGACTTACTTCATTCAGCACAATGTCCTTATTTCACTTTTAGAGATGAGAAAACCAAAGCTGCAGACTAATATTTGCCCGGGGTCACAGGCAGAAAGTCATCTGGTTCCACAACTGGTGTTCTTAAAAGCCTCCCCTGCCACCAGGAGGAGTGACTCAGCCAGGAGAAGCCCTGTGGCCAGGTCTCCCAGAACTGCAATGGGACTGGCAGGTCCCTGGAAGCTACTAAGTACCAGGGGGCCTCCTGCAATTTCTCCTTTAATCCCTCCTCAGCATATCAGCTTTTCTCCTTGTTCTCAGATAAGGCCTGTGGAGAACCGCAGAACTTGGCCAGAATGTACAGGTTGCAACTGATTTTCTCTTCCCATTCCAGGACATGGTGCCACTAGGTGTACTGCACAGACGAGGGAAGACACGGAAAAAAAGGACAACCAAGAATTCACTGCTTCTCAGCACTGAGCCCCAGTGGCCTGGGGGCAGGTAGGCCGCAAGCCCGGGAGGAGAAACCCTACAGCTCCAGATGCCTGTGGAGGGCAGTCCAAAGTGCCTCTGCTGAGTGATAACTATATACGGCAATCTAAGAAATAAGAAAGCTGGGTGTTTGCATAAGTTAGTCATTGGAACACTCAAGATTAACAAGAAGCACACTTGATAAGGCCTGAGAAACCTAAAGTGAAACTGTACGTGCAAACTGTGCACGGTCCGACCTAAAACCACAGTATATGGGAACCAAAGTGTAACCCAACAAGAAGTTATGCAGGACAGCAGAAGCCAGTAAGACGTGACACCACGATAAATGCAAAGGGACAAAATTACCTTTGACAAAAGATATGTCTCAAAGTAGGGGAAAAAAACCGAAAACTCCAAACCCTGTGCCGCATACCAGAGACATACTTCAAACAAGATTAGCAGAAAATGGCTCCAAGTGACATTCAAGGAGAGCACAGAAAAGAGCGACAAAACAAAGCCTGAAGCAAACTGAGTTTAATGCAGGGCCACCCTGCGACTTGATAACCCTTCTGGCGCGGGCATGGGCTTCAGTCTCCTCCTCAACAGAAAGTGAATGCAAGATTGTTTCACTCACAGCAGCAAGCTTTCATTGTCTCTGTCACTGTCAGCTGTTGTCAGTTGTGACTCATGGCAACCCTATCGTGTGCAGGGTACAACTGCTCCCAAAACCAAACGCACTGCCGTGGAGTCGGACCCGACTCACAGCGACCCCTCCTTGGGTTTCCGAGGCAGTATCACTACAGAAGTAGATTGCTCAATCTTCCTTCCGAGGAGTGGCTGGTGAGTTTGAACCGGCAGCCTCTGACTGGCAGTCAGATGCCTTAGGCACTGCGCCCCCAGAGCTGCTCCACGGGTTCTTCACGCCTGTGACCTTTGGGAAGCAGGTCACCAGGCCTGTCTTCTGAAGTGCTCAGAGTGGGTCTGAACCGTCAACCTTCAGTTCAGCCCTTAACTGCCGGTGTCGCCCAGAGACCCCCTCTCACTGCCTACAGATGACTTACAAGACAAGCAGCCCAGTGATCCAAATACTGGAGGAAACAAAAAAGCAGGTGGGGCTACAGAGCAGCTGTCCTACTCACTACACTGCATCAGTTCTAAGTCCCACGTTATGCTAAAACATTTTATTTTAGTCGATGAGAATATGCACAGCAGAAGCTACACCAATTCAACCATCTCCACATGTACCATATTCAGCGACACTGATTCATCCCAGTGTGCAACCATTCTCACCATCCTCTTCTGAGCTGTCCCTCCTCCATGAGCATAAGCTCACTGCCCCCTCAACTTCCTGTCTAATCTTTTCAGTTCCTGTTGTCAATCTGATCCCATATAGACAGTTGTTTCAAAAAGCTCAATTTCCTTTTAAGAAGATTTCAGTGGATATTTTTGTTTAAGGTTCAAAGATGATCTCAGGACAATAGGTCTGGGGGTTCATCCAGCCTCCATGGTTCCTGAACGTCTGCATCCCACGAGAACTTGAAAATCTGTTCTGCATTTTCTCCCTTTTGATCAGAGTTCTTCTATCAAAGTTCCACATTATTTTAACATTTCGTTTCCAATTTCCCCTCAGGGATACTCCATAGAGCTGGACTACACAAAAGTAAAAGCTCTGCTAGCGTAGCGCCTAAGGTACTTGAGTGCTAATCAGAAGGCTGGCGGTTCAAACCCACCAGCCACTCCTCAGAAGGAAGACTGGGCAATCTACTTCTGTAGAGATACCACCTCAGAAACCCAAGGAGGGTGGCTATGAGTTGGATCTCACTCGCAGGCGGTGAGTTTTTTTTTTTTTTGTTAAATCATTCTTGACTGAAAAAAAAAAAAAATGTACTTTCCCTTTTACTGACTGAGATGGCCATTTCTTAGGACAACCACACTCTAGGACCCACAGAACAGATGCCAAGTTCCCCCTGGGGAGAATCCCGCAGCTCTGTCTGCAGGGTGGTAGGACTAAAGACCTGTCAGGTCCCTGAACCTTCAGCGGGGCTGGTGGCTGGTACCTTTGGGTCTGCTCCCCCAGTCACATGAGCCCCTGCTGAGTAAGTGCCAAGGGGTATAACCAGGACTCAGCAGGTCCCCTGCCGCTCCAAAGCCGAACCAAGAAGAGAGATTTATGGCTGGCACAAAGGGCTGTGTCTCCTTCTTGGTCTTAAGTTTCAGAACCATCTGTTTCAGGCCGAAATATTCCCTCCAAAGACAGGCTGAAGTCCCCAGGGACCGTGACCTTGATCTGAAACAGGGTCTTTCAGGTGTTAGCATGAGGCCATCCTACAGCACAGCATGGTCTAATCCAGTCTGACTGGTGTTCTCAGCAGAAGAGACGAGACCCAGGGACAAGGTCACAGGAAGACGGAGGCAGAGAGTGGAGGGGCACCTACAAGCCGAGGGTGCCAGGAGCTACCAGACGCCAGAAGGGGCAAGGAAAGAGTCTTCCCTAGAACCTTCCAAGAGAGCGTGGCCCTGTCGGCAGCTTGACTTGGGACTCCCAGCCTCCAGACAACGAGACAATACCTTTCTGGTTTATTAAGCCACCCAGTTTGTGGTACTGTGTGACCACAGTCCTGGGAAATGAATACAGCATCACAGATGGTGGGGCTGAAGACCCTCACAGGGTACCTTCTCTCCACTCTGCAATTCACGGCAGGGGAAACTGAGGCTCAGCAAGTGCTCACCCATGGCTGATTAGAGGGCAGAGCTGGCTCTGAGCCGCTCTCCTCATTCCCTCACCCGCCGCTCTCCACCCTCCCACCCGCACTCACCGTCCTCCCTGACCCAGTGGTCTCCACCCTCCCACCCGCACTCACCGTCCTCCCTCACCTGCCGCTCTCCACCCTCCCACCTGCACTCACCGTCCTCCCTGCCTTCATGGCGGTGTCTTGGTGCCCATGTGCTCCTCTCTGTTTCATGTTCATCCTGTGATTCACCCACCCCTTCCCATCCTGGTGCCCAATGGGGACCACAGCACCTTCCAGATAAGGTCTCTGGGATGGCTTCCACTTTGCCTCTTGCAGAGACTGGCCATGCGTGGGCCACCAAAGGATGCCATGTGCACACACAAGCCAGGCAGGCACGGCGTGGTGTTAATGTTCCGGAGGCGGCTCCAGGCTGGAGCGGACACCACACTGAACTCACCGTGCCCTGTGATGGAGCAGCAGGCGCTCCTTCAAGACCAGAACCTGTGGGTGGAAGAGGGGGACAGTGCATAGCCTCTGGTCCCC